TGAAATATGGATTAATCGCAATGAGGCACATCACAAGCCCATGCTATTGCTCCCCCGGGATTTATTTATCTAACAACATTGTGCCTAAAACTTGAGTTTCGAATTATCTATTTCGTATAATTGCAGAAAACTTAGGCCCCGGTAATCCTAGATTATCCGCAACAAATTTTTGCTGTGAAATCGAAGCTAATTGGAACGGTATCAAGCAAATTCGCTTTTACATCTGTAATGTTACAAAAAGTCGTTGGTTGGCAAAAAATGTTTCGAGTTTTCAAGACAGGCTGAAATTTTGAAGGGAAATAAAATCGTCAAAAGATACAACTCCCGAAACTGCAACTTACAGCCGGAAAGTGTTCAAAGACTTTTGCTTTCAAATAAATTAGTCACGGATTCTTTTCAATAGTTTGAACATAAATTTACGGACGAACATTAATTTCATCATTTATGACCGCTTAATCATAAGTGACAAATCTAGGACACATTTCCATCGAATTAGCAGCAATTCGAAATATGAAAGAAAATCTGAAATATTAAATATTACATATTTAATATTTCAGATATTAAGTATTACATATTTATATATTAAAATCTGAAATATCAAATATTAAAAAACACGAAAGCATATAAAATGTGTGTGATGATAAGTATGGGAACAAATAATAATTTTTACACTTCCATTCTCAGGGAGAAAATGGAGACTGAGGATTGGGAGAACCACGATGATACTCAAGTTTAAAAGAAAACAAAATCCCGCCATAAACTCATTCTCTACAGGTAGTGGAGACACTTAAAAGTACCCGAATGGCAGCATACGCCAACTAGCGCCTTCTTCCAAAACGACTCCCTGGAAAAACATTGATTTTGTTTATCGCTCCCTTTTTGTATCTCGTTTTTAAAGGCGGTTCACTTCGACACCGACTTATTCACATGCCATCAACACCACTAACTCTGGGCTTTCAGGACAGCTTATTGACTAAAACGCGAAACGTGGGCAAAAAATTTGGATTTCTTTATTTTTGCAATTTGGATTCCTTTTTTCCAAATAAGTTCAAACTAACCTGATTTTCACAGTGTTTTTTCAACTGTATTTAATTTCAGAATTTTTCAACAGTTTGCCGTGCCTCTCCCAGTAAGTTTTTTTCTTCGTTTTCTTGAAGCTCTGGAGCTTTTTCGCGCACTATAACATGTTTATTTACTAGCAAAACCACGCGCAGCCTGAGCAACAATAAGCACTCTTTGTGGCGTAGTAAATGCTCGCTTGCGAAATTATGAAGCTACTTCTCAAACTGATTTAGTAGGGGTCTGTGAGATGAAGTGCTGCAGATGGTTTTTTGTACGTGTTAAATTTAAAGATAACTGCAAAATGAAAAAAAGGAACGGAGCTTTCACACACATTTAACAGTTCGGAAGCTTTGAATGCGATCAAATATTTCGGCAAATGAATGGTTCCGTAGGAAGAGAATCGCAACTGCAGTCAAGGCGAAGGTGAGAAGTAGATGTTTATCAAGCAGACGTGTGTCAAGTAGAAGTTTGTCAGTTAGATGTATGTGAAGCCGAACCACGGATGAGAAAATTGCCTCCTTTTAGCTAAAAGGGAGGCCGAACTGCTATTCCCGCAAAATCGAAAGATGGGAGCAACAGTTTCGATCCCAGGCACCAGAAATGTTTATCATTAAAAAAGAGTTACGGTACAAAAGCGGAGCAAGAAAAAATGATTATTGGGGGCTCGAAACGGGAGAAGGGACCTGCAAAATTGTATTACAAACAAGTAGTAAATAATGTTTTATTCTAAATGTAGCTGGATTCCAAAATAAATGCATTTATAGTGTGAACTTGAAAACTTTTTTTTTTGCTTTCGAGTTATAAATTAATCAGAATTTCGACCCCTATAGTTTTGGAAGCATAATTTGAGACAAAGAAATGTGAACTGTTTTCAAGTTTATGACCGTTACACCTCCAGAATTATGTTTCCAAAAATTCTGCTTGCTAGTTTGTGAGCTGAGGCACACAAGATGCACGGGATAAGTTTCCGTCACAGTAATTTTATGTCAATTATGCCGCACTCAGTGGCGTGATTTTGCCACAGCATGGTACCACCCACATGAATCACTTGCGCAAGAATGCGCATGTCTGAGAAGACAAGTCAGAAAAGCCGTCCACTTTCAAAGCATCGATAGCCGTTGGTCACTCGATTTGACCGCACTTTTTAGCAATTAAATCCAGCTTATCGGTCACAGCGTTTGTAATTTTTCAATTGTACAGGTACGAGCCAGTGGCCATGTCCCGGTGTCAGAACGAAATTAACCAATCGCTAGTCGGCAGCAATGCGTTCACTGCTGCAGTCATGAATCGTGAACAGCACACTATTCGGAACAAATTTGGAACATTGTGCAGGTAATTCTTCCGATTTTCTAATTCTGGGGAATTCAAGAAATTCGCAGTTCTAACGACCATCCTGTGGCGTTTTCCAAGACT